TGTACGGTTGTACCAATAAGTAATTTATTTCTATTGCAAAAATCCCGTCTAGAAATCAATTAATATATGTTCAGACGTTAGGCGTTAACCGGCTGCCTAGCGTATCTCGTGGTCTAAGCGGCCGACGACTAGGCCGCTTAGGTTGATTAGGCGCTGACCACATAGGCCTCCTAAGCACCGACTAAGCACCAATTAAGCTGTCTAGTCAGCCTTTTAGCCGTTATTCTTTTTTTTTTTTTTTTTTTTTTTTTTTTTTTTTAGAGCAAATGCCAATTTTGACCCACGAGTATTAGCAAAATGACGGTTTTGGTCAACATATTTAATTTCTACCAATTTTATTTCATCCACGACTATTGTTTTAGTACCAATTTTCATCCACGACTATTATTTTAGTACCAAAATTCATCATACCGGTCACCCTTCCATTTTAGACATGTCGAAATTTAAAAATTTTAAAGGCATTTTCGTCCTTTTCGACTTAAGATTCTAATTTGAGCATTAATAAATGAATTTAAGCTTTAAGATTGATCTCAATTCGCAGTTCTCCTCCTCATCCTATCTTAATTTGAGGAGGAGAATTACAAATTGGGATAGATCTTAGGGCTTAAATCCCTGTATTCATGTTAAAATTGGGATCTTAATTTGAAAAATGACAAAATACCTTTAAATATCATATTTTGGCATTTCTTATACGAAGGGGTAACCGACGTGATGAATTTTGGCACTAAAACAATAGTTGTGGATAAAAATTGGTAGTAAAACAATAGTCGTGGATGAAATTGGTAGAAATTAAATATGTGGATCAAAACTGTCATTTTGCTAATACTCGTGAGATCAAAATTGGTATTTGCTCTTTTTTTCTTTTTTTTTAATTAGTTATTTCACTTAAATAACATCGTTTTGAGCAAAACTAACCTTAAATGGTTTAAACTTTAATGTTTTTAAGGTTAATATTTAATACACATATATACCTGGTGAAAACCTTGGTGAGGAGTGAGATTAACTCCAAGATCAGCAATGCAAAAGGCAGTAGTATTATCAGAACTATGGAGGTAGGAATACCTCTTGAGGCAATCCATGATGCCATCCGCCATGGCCATGGCCAAAGGAAAGCTCAACACAATTCCAGCTCCCCCAAAGGCGTTCTTGAAGGAGAAGTGATAATTTGCAGGAATGAACTCAGAATGCCCCCCAATGTAGTAGTACTTAGTGTGGTCATATTGAGCAAGAAGATCCACCAAATTATCCACCAAGAAAATCGAGTCGTCGTCCCCCATGATGACCCACCTCGGCAACGTCCCCCTAGCCCGTTGAGGCGCATCCCGGACCGTCTCCATGATCCCGTGGACCATCCGGGCCACACGTGAATCTACATGTTTAGTTTCTTCTAACACCCGACTTATATTGTCAGACACTCGATAGGGAGGAGAGGCTGGAGACCACGGCACGAGCTCCCCCTCCGGGGGTTTGTCCAACAAGAGGAACCCTAGGGTGGCGTTCGGCCGCCACCACGACTCTACGTAGGGTTTCCGGTGGTGCCATGCTTTCTCCGACCCCAAAATCCCAAACACCAAATGGCTTAGATTGGTGGGGGGATTTGAATCATCACTACTCTCAAGCTTAGATCTTGATTCATTATCTAATGAAGATGAAGAATACAAAGAACTTAACAAGAATCTTAAAGAAGAAGAAGAAGATGATGGGCAATAATTAGTCCAAATCCCTATTGGAAACAGCAATGCAAGAGTCAAGAAAACAAGAAGAGGACAACAAAGAAGAAGTGATTTACAGCCTCCAATTACAGCAGACTTGCCATGTGAAGATGGCATCTTGAAAGTCAGCCTGCAATTGGGTTATCACTTAATTAGCTTCTCACTAAGCAAACATCATATTAGAGCATATATATAATAATAATTGTGTAAGAAAATTTACATTATACTCCATGCAAATAAAGTATAGAAAGATAGAAAGAGAAAAGACTAACTTCATGATGCAACTTTTGCAGCCATTTATTGATAATTATAAAATGATAGGATACAACTATTATTTGAGGATATGTACTGGGTAAACTCTGTTTTTTTATATAATGGGTTATACAAATCATACAAAAGAGATAAATTACTTTATAATAATCTTAATTGTATAATAGAGTCGACTAAAATAGTGTTCGCAATAGGTCAGCTTTGAAGAAATGGATTTATATAATGGCGCACCTTTTATTGACTTTGAAGGAAAAACTAGATAGCTAGACACCTACATGCATGTTCTGCAATCTGCATTTCAAGATGATATGCATATCACGTTCCTTGTATTATTTGGTCAACGTTTCCTATAGCTTATTTTGCACTTCTCAAGAACCTTTTAACACGAGGGGGTCATGGATCCAATCTCATAGATCAAATCGCTCGCATCTTCAAGATATCAAACAACCTTTTATTTATTTTTTATTTTTTATTTTAAATTTAAACTTCTCATGTATGTATCATATGTTATCGAAAGATGACATTTGTTAAAATGTAAGTAGTAAAGTGGAGCGACAATACTTGACTTTAAGGTTCACACTTAAACTAGATTTTGTTGAGTGGGTCACTAGTCCGATGAAAAAGCCACTAGTCCAATCGCCTTCTCCACTAGAGGGGCGATCTTTCTAATTGCCTTCCCCGGGGAAGGTGACCGGACTAGTCGCCTTCTCCAAGTGCGGAGAAGGCGACCAGTCCAGTCGTCTTCTCCACTGGAGAGGCGACCAAAAAGGTTGCCTTATCCGGTGAAAGGCGGCCAGTTGGTTGCCTTTCGCCGTAGATGGCGATCGGCGACGACTTGGTCGTCGCCAGATTTTTTTAGCCGGAATTAAAATGACCTGTAATTACATATCATTTATCGGTTCATGGGTTTTATTTACTCATTTTGACAAGTTTAAGTGTTGAATTGCTCTTTTTAAAAACTTAGGGACCTAATTACACTTTTAGCTAAAGTTTAGAGGCCTATTTGACCCTTATAAAATATAATTTTTAATATAAAAAATGCTGGGCCAATATATAATTACATTTTTTTTTTTAATTTCTGGCCCAAAACTAACCCATTGTTGCAGGCCAATACCTAAAATCTTTTAAACTCACAAATATTTTTTATTTTTTCCTGCCAATATGGGTTTTTCCAGTCGCACACGAGGCTAGCTACGGTGTTGTGATTACACAAGCAAATGGTAGCTTTGTGGCATCGAAGAATGGCCAGGTACGATGCATGGATGATGTTCATTTAGCTGAGGCCATAGCTATCAAGGAACAATAGTTATGCTGTGCAACCGAATGTACCATGCGCATGGTGCATACGGTTCAAAACGACGTCGTTTTGATTAAAAACGCGCGTCCCACTTTTAAAAAAAAAAAATCAGGTTCGACTCTCAGCAATAGCATTATTGTGGATATATAGTTATGAAATTGTGGATATATAGTTATGAAATTGTGGTTATATAGTTATGAATTTATGGATATTTAGTTCATTCATTGTGGATATTTAGTTCAATCATATATTGTGGATATTTAATTCATTCATTCATTGTGGATTTTTACTTCATTCATTCATTCATTGTGGATTTTTATTTCATTCATTCACTGTGGATCTATAGTTATGAAATTGTGGATATATAGTTATGAAATTGTAGTTATATAGTTATGAATTTATGGATATTTAGTTCATTCATTGTGGATATTTAGTTCAATCATATATTGTGGATATTTAATTCATTCATTCATTGTGGATTTTTACTTCATTCATTCATTCATTGTGGATTTTTATTTCATTCATTCACTGTGGATCTATAGTTATGAAATTGTGGTTATATAGTTATGAAATTGTAGTTATATAGTTATGAATTTCTGGATATATAAAAATGCTATTGCCGGGAATCGAACCTGATTTCTTCTTTAAGTGGGACGCGCGTTTTTTTTTAACCAAAACGGCGCCGTTTTGCAACCGTATGCACCTTGCAAGGTGCATTCAGTTGCACAGCATAATTTGCGATCAAGGAAGCTCTCTCCTGGGCCAAGGAGAGGGGTATTTTAAAAACAATAATACACTCTAATTGTCGGATGATATGTAAGTTGCTAAAATGCTCCTTACGAGACTATACCTATGCAGGCTGTATTCTGAGTGAATGTCGGGATCTACAACGGCACTTTGATATGGTGTCTATCCAGTATGTTTCGAGATCAGTGAATATAGCTGCTCATGTATTAGCTAGGGCGGCATGTTCGCGACCTGATCCTCTTATTTGGTCTACTTCCTTACCGCATTGTATTGGACACTTATTTTAATGAAATTTGGTTATATGGTTTTTCAAAAAAAAAAAAAAAGAAGAAAAGATAAAGATAAGGCAATCGTTATACCGTGCACCGCGGCGCACATAGCAATGTGCGCCCCGCCCTCCCAAAGTGATGTCGTTTTGTTAAATTGTGTGGAGAATTGACGCGACGGAGTGTATGTGTATTCTGTTATACAATTATGTACATTCTATTATACAATTATGTACATTCAAAACAAGAGATTTTTTTAAGAGTTAAGTGTTTATGTGTATTATGTTAAGGGTTTATGTGTATTATGTATTATGTTAGATTATGTGTATTATCCTTTCAAAAAAGTGTATGTATATTATGTTATATAATTATGTACATTCTATTATACAATTATGTATATTCGAAACATGGAGATTTTTTTTTAAGAAGTTAACATTAAACATCGGAAAAGTGTATGTGTATTATGTTATATAATTATGTACAAAATTTCTATAAAAAAAAAAAAAACAAAAAACAAAACGACGTCATTTTGGGCTAGAGCGCACGATATAATTTGCCAAGATAAAAGATTAATAATGTCCTATTTATGATCCAAGAGTTAAATGGGTAATATTAAAGAGCTATTGGAGGCTCATGTTCTATTTTGGGCCTTAATTCACTGGGCTATTTGGAAAAAGGCCCAACACGTTACTATAAATATTACATAATCCTTTTCCAGCAATCCGGCACGCTTGTGAGTCGTAAAGATGGAGGACCTGAGAGCAACCTACAGAGACACGGAGGACGAGAGCAACGAATCCTCCCTCAACACCACCGCCACAGCGACGGTCGCCGCCGACTCTCCCATGACGGAAACGCCGCCATCCGCCGCCGTCAACGGAGGAGCCGCCGCCGCTTCTGAAATCACGGCGCCGCCCGAGTCCGAAAATCATAATTCGGTTGCGAAACGCAAGTCTCCGGCGAAATTGGCCAAGGCGTCTGAAACAGAAGAGGAAGAGGACGAAGAGATTGAGGAGGAGGAGGAATTGGAGCCTCCTACGAAGAAGCATAAGCCACTATCTCCTGTAACCCCGTCGTCGCCGGCTCAGCCGCCAGATGTGGAACGAGCCGAGGGTGAAATTACTGATATGCCCTTGGACACTCCGGTAGTCACCACTACGCCGACGAAGACTACTACCGAGGCGAAAGAGCCCGCTTCGAAGAGTAGCAAGAAGGCAAAATCGAAGAAGAAGAATAACAATGTGTGGACGAAGCCCACTTCGAGAAAGGGGAAGAAGAAGAACAAAAACAACGGCAACCAGAACGGGAATAAGAAGAATGGGAACGAACAGGAAGCGGAGGACAAGGTGCTGATAACTCCGATTCCGAGGTTCCCGGATAAGAATGACGATGGACCAGAGATGAAAATATGCCTTTCGAAGGCCTACAAGGCAGAGAAAGTTGAGGTGAGCGAGGATAGATTGAGTGCTGGAAGTACTAAAGGCTACAGAATGGTAAGGGCCACGAGAGGGGTGGAAGAAGGGGCATGGTATTTTGAGATTAAGGTGATGAAGTTGGGGGAGACGGGGCATACACGGCTGGGGTGGTCCACTGAAAAAGGGGACCTTCAGGCGCCGGTTGGGTACGATGGGAATAGCTTTGGCTATAGAGATATTGATGGGAGCAAGATACACAAGGCACTTAGGGAGAAGTATGGGGAAGAAGGATATGGTGAAGACGATGTTCTTGGATTTTATATCAGTTTGCCAGATGGGGAAAAGTATGCGCCTAATCCACCCCGCCTTGTTTGGTACAAGGGACAGAGGTATATGTGCTCATCTGACCCTAAAGAGGACCCTCCAAAAATTGTGCCTGGTAAGCCATTGCTCACTTTCTGCTCTACCTGTATTTGTCCTTCCGCCTTTTTTATATGATCACTGATGACTGCATTATATGCTTTTTATGTGTGTGATTGTGGATTTGATAATGAATTATTTATAGAGGGCTGAGGATCCAGTTGTTCTATTACCTTGTAACCACTTCAATGGATTCATCTGGCTTTATCTATTGATTTATTTGTAGTTTATAATATGCATAGATTGTCCACCTATATGAAGGCATCCCATTTGCTTCCACACCAAACTTATCTTCTAAAAAAACCTATCTTTATAACTTATCTAGCTTTGTCTTACATATCTGCCATAAAAATACCACTCGGACAGCAATTGCTTCCTTCAAGCATGCTACTGGATGTTTGATTGAATAACAACAGCTCTCTTTTTAATCAAAAGAACTGTTGATTAGAATGCTTAATTAGTCTATAGTTGTGGGCACATCTTTTATAAATTCGCTCAGTTGCAAAAGAATGAAGGGTATTGTGGCCTTCTTTTTTGTTTTGGTATATATATTATGTGGAGATCAGATTCAAAGCCAATTATAGTACCTAAAGAGGGCATTGCTAACAATGTGGGTTCAGGGTGTAGAAATAGAGCTGTGTCCAAATCCCATCACCCCCATCCCCCATTAGATGTACAAAAAAAAAATAGATCTTTATAATCTTAAGTAATTTGAGTTTGTTACAGATTTTCACATTATACTACTCTATCTCTCCCCATATCCTGAACCTATCAATTAAGTTATTCTAGGAGGATCTAGGGCAGGGAGTCAAATTTGAAATGGTTTATTTTAGATGCACTTGTGTTCTTCAACTGCTAATGCATTGGCTCAAATGCGCCTTATGCTATCATTATGGTTGTGATTTGTGAACTGAATAGAATCATAGATAATGATGCATAGTTCTGTTTCCAGATCCTCAAATCTAGTTGCTTATGACTTTTCTTTATCAACACAACTCTGTTGAAATAAAGGCAAAATGATTGATTGCTGCACACATATAAAATTGGATTTAGTTACAATTCTTCATTTAGATATGATTTTTTTTTTTTTTTTCTATAGTTCATGTAGTTCTAACATCAAAACCATGTGCTGATTTTGGTTGACCAGGGAGTGAGATATCTTTCTTCAAAAATGGCATATGTCAAGGTGTTGCTTTCAAGGATCTTTATGGTGGTCGTTACTATCCAGCTGCTTCTATGTACACACTTCCCAACCAGCCTAATTGTGTTGTGAAGTTCAATTTTGGCCCTGATTTTGAATGCTTTCCAGAGGATTTTGGTGGGCGCCCATTACCAAAGCCTATGATTGAAGTTCCATATCATAGCTTTGAAGGAAGAGTTGAGAATGGTGTGTCAAATGATAACAAAACTTAGTTACCATATTTAACTTTGACAAACCTATAAAAACCTTAAGGTTGTCTCTGATTTAATTTTTTCAATTTCATATTTTTTTGTAACTTTCCTAACCATTAGTAGTACACGTCTGGCATTTGAACAATCAAATATTGTAACTCAGATTTTCCTTTTCCCTGTAATTGCAAAATACAATCCATTTTTGCCCATTTTTCATTAATAATTTGGCTTTTCTTTGTTTATGAAGTTGATGCACAAGAAGTCACTTATGTTGCTGTCTTATTATTCTACTGCTATTATAGTTTACAGCTTTATAAGGGGTAAATCAAGGGAATTTATGTATCTGCCTTATTTTCCATTTCTTCCCATATGGTTTGGAATTGTGGTTTCTCATTTGTTTAGCAGTTAGAAAAGCCGGGGCTTATTTGTAGATTTTACATAATACAAATCTTTCTCATGACAGGTAATCAGTGGCATTCGGTCAGAATGTGCCCGATGCTCAAAGTGGTAAATCAACAAGATTGTAATAATGTGGAAGCTGCTGAAATGAACAGCTAAGCTTGTGGATATACTCAGGTTGGTTGTGTTTAAACTTTGTAAATGAAATCTGTAGAAAGCTACATATCTTCTAATTTTCCAGATTTTACCTAGTTGTAATATTATTAGTGCCTAGAGAACTTACTCTTGCTGAAAGAGAGAGTTGGCAAACTTCCCATCGGTTTCCATTTGCACATTGTGTACCTTTTCTTATGGACTTATGGATAGAAGTCTCTTTGTATATAGGTTTCTCTACTTGTGTTGTTAGAGTAATGGGCTTAGAGTGATTTCTGCGGAACTCATTCCTCGAGAATAAGAATCTGTTTGGTGTGCAGAAACTATGCTAGAAAAGAGTCTATTCCTTGTACCTTTTTCTTTCACTATGTGTGGTGGAAGGAATATTGATTCCTTTTGAGGAAGGAATCTAAATATATCCTCCTAAGATCAAATTTTATTTTGATTGAGATAGTACAATTTCATTATCCCAACACACCAAATGGAGCCTTGGTCTTTGGAATCATTGTGCCAAACTTTCCTTACATTTTTTATGGGGTCGAAACTGTGTTTTGGCTTAGTGAGAGTGCATAGTGGGGCTCCACATTATTCATCATAGTTTAATGTCTTTAGGGTATAAACCTTGAAGTGTTAAGCCCTTTGGGAATTGACAATCTAAAGCTCCATTTGGGAGAGCGGTGAGATCGGAGTGCTCCAACCACAGTGCTTGTATTGGATCCTTATCTCTCCAATTGAAATTTTTGTGATTGGAGCAGTCTGTGGCCATTGGGGAAGTTGGTGCATAACTCCTATAATCACTCTCCCAAGTGTACCCTAACTCAATTGGGGATTTCCTCAATTGTTTTTCTTGATATATCAAGTCAATTCCTAAATTTTTAAAATATATTTGGATTAGTTTAATAAAGAGATTTTCACTATTGAAGAGAGGTATTGAGCTTATTGAAATAAACCATAAAAACTTCTAAGAAACTAATTGAAATGATAGTATCCTAATTAGTTATAGAAAATACTATTCACTTTTCATCTCTAGTTTATTTTTTTAATTTTCAAGTTTTCAAATATTTTACAATTTATATAATACAAAGTTATTTTAAATCAAATTATTTTTATGTGAAAATCTTTGTGGTTGATTGATAGGTGGTGTCTCCTGTTTATTATGCTTGTATTTAGTTATAGTCCTCTAAGATTGTTTAAGATATTATCGATTGCAATGGACATTGTTTACATTGAGTCAATCATCAAAGTCCATATTTTTGTGTTACCATTTTTTTCCAATGAGGGAAACTTGCAGAGTTGCAGCCATTATTCAAGGGTGGGCAAATTATTATGTAGACCCAAGGTGGACTCGGGTCCAAAGATACACAATTTACATATTAAATGTTCACAATTTACCTTTTAAAAATTCACAATTTGTGATGACCCTGTATTGTATTCACAAATTCTCAAAACTTAGAAACACAATTTATACTCTAGAAGTTCACAATTCCAATACTAAAAATACACAATTTAGGACCATGGTCCACCTTGCAAGGTGGACCTTGGACCATGGTATAACAACTATCGAGGGTGTGTATTGGGTAATCCCGGTCTTATGTAATAGCCCACTTTAGGAAAATCCTGTACGACGGGCTCGGGCTCGACTGAGAGGGTGTTAACAACTTGTGAATTTTTGATGTGAAAATTATGCTTCACCCACTCAGTCACCCCTTTCGGGCTATTGTGTTACCATTCTTTTCCCAAAAGGTTGAATCCCCAACCTTAAGGGGCCCCCCCACACCTCGGCCCGACAGAGCATCTGGGAGGATGTAAATCATGGTGATTCAATGGTTCGGCGGACATGGCCAAATGTCGGTGCGCACAAGGAATCTGTCCACTTCGGACATAATTCCCACATTGCCGCCGCCGAGGTTCGAACTTTGGTCTCTTCTCCCAAATACTACCTACTGAACCATTGAGTTAAGCTCGTGCGGGCATTGTGTTACCATTCTTGTTATTGAGAAGAGTTGTTTGGTTTGCTAGTTAATTATACTCTGCTTTGCAAACCAAACAAGGACAAGGCATGTATTGACTAAAGATTGGAATGATAGCTACCGAATTTCTTTATTTATTTTAGACTTTTTTTTTTTTTTTAATGGATGAGTAGTTGATGGCTTGTTGTTTGAAGTGTGCTGTCCTTTAATGAATTTGGGAGGGTGTTTTATGGTTTAGTACTTGAGTTGTGCATCTAAATTTTCATAAAGTCATGAGTTAATTTTCATCCCAAGTGAAATTTGATTATTAATATTGTTTGATTATACAGTTAATATTGTTTGATTAAGTTAGCTAAAATTAAGTTTTTCTATTACAACGTTTGTTTAGCGGCTTTATGGGCAGCAACAACCGTTCCTCTGCTAAACTCGCATTGTTACCTAGTTCAAGTGACAAGTTTGACAATGCCTGGTTGAAATTTATCTAAATTGAATTCACCTTTTTTACAATAATTACTTAACTTTGGAAGTGAAGAAGTATGAATAATACCTTGCTTTATGGTAAATAAGAGTCATAGTTCATTGTTCGGTAACATTAATTTGAAACTCTATGTAAGAGGTTGTTGGTCTGGTATAGTCCCACTTGGGTTGAGTACTCCTGTGAATTGTGTCAGCATGTCTGGTAGCTGTAGCAGTGCAATCATGTAGTAGCTGCGGTGCAATTCTTCCCAAGTTCGTAGTTTGTAGGTTAAGGTTGGTTCTCACCTGATTAGAAATATATATATATATATATATATATATATATATATATATATATATATATATATGTATATATATATATATATATATATATATATATATATATATATATATATATATATATATATATGGTGTGTCCTCCTAATGAATTGGAGAGTTGAGACCTTCTTGGGAAGACAATGGATGCATAGTGTAATGTCTCTTGGATGGAAAGGGTGGAGGAGTGATCTTCCTGAAAGAAGGCCTCTTGCTAATACGGTGCATAGTTGTTTTGGTATAAAGGTTGTAGAGGTAGGGCATGGCTGTCTCCCTTAGCTTGAGAACGACAAAGAATGCTAGCCTGTATGATGCAAGAATGGCTATGACTGCACCCAAATCCCACCATTTCGAATGCTCCACCGATATCCCAAGAATGGTGGTCAGGATAACCTCTCCGTTTAGCTTAACCTCGCTAGAGTTCATGGGTTCGAACTCTAGCCCTAACATGTCGTTCTTGTATGCTCCCTGCCATTTCCCAAAGTTTGTCGAAATTATATATATAGACACACACACACACACACACCGAGTTATGTCTAATAGAAGCTTACTTGTAAACCCCATGCCATGTAGTTTACATAGGAAATAGGGTATGTCCAGAAGAACTTTGGAAGATATGGGAATGGCTGGAAAAAACCAGCCGAAGCCATCATAATTCCCTGCATTATAAAGAATGAGCATTCCTTATTAGTAGTCTAATGTGATTACGATAAAATAAAGGTACGTTCTCTTTTGATAGTACCCTTTTTTTGGCTGTACCCAGGGTTTTCACCGTCAAACACAATGACTAATTCCCTCACTGAATTGTAGACACCTCTTTTGGGTGGGACAGCTGGCCTGGAAATTTAAGGCTGCTTCATACCCAAAGCCAATGATCGAATCATTGACCTTTGGTTAAGGATGGATGAGTCTCTTCCACTCAACCACACCCTCCCAGGTTCTGTTGAGAGTACTCATTTGGACGGGATACTTACAATTAAGCCGGCTCCTATAATGAGCCCCATAGTGAAGTTGGGAACAATGGAAGCCACAACCATCATGCAGCTCTCTACCACAGCAATGGAGCACAAAAGATCAACAGCAGCATATGTGAAATGGATGAAGCCAGGGTGAAACTTGACCAGACTGTAAGTAATGGCTATTGAGCTAAAAGACATCAAAACCAAGAATGGGAATGATGAGATGAAGTTTGAGAGGATGAACAATCCAACCCCATAATGCCCATTCAATCTCTCTTTGTAAAATATCTGTCAAGAGAAACTTCAAATGTCACACCATATATATCGATATATATGAACTCGAAGATGCAATGAACACAATTATCTTACTTTCATTTCTTCAATGAAAGATGGGAAGCCTCCGATGGACATGAAGGACATGAAGCCGGAAATGAATCCGCCGCAGGCGCCCCTCGCCATGATCGCCCGGTAGTTTGTTCCGACATCGTGAAAGACAGTGCCGACACAGACAGAAAGTACGATGTACATTATTATTCTCAGCCAGTAGTAGCTGAAATCTCTTGACATGTTTGTCATTGATCTTCTTGTCAGTGTTGTAAGTTGCTTCCACCATCTTGCTTGCCTTCCTCCTCTTTCTTCCACTCTTACTACTCCATCCTGCTAAGCATTCAAGAAAAAAAAAAAAAAAATGTTGCCCCCGGGGCATAGTTCTGTAGTCGAATCATTGAATGTGGGTGTGATGACACAGCAAATACCTCGGTATTCCTTAGTTACCCGTAAATTGATGCATACACGCATATAGATCTAGACTTACCATTTTTGACATTTCTCGAAGTTTGGTTTTAACTCTGCTTGCATATTCTGAGTATCTGTAGTTTCGAAGAAGCCTTACTCTTATCTCTGTGGTTGGTAAGTATGTAGTGGAACCAGATGACTCTTTGATATCCTAAATAGGGTAAACATGTTTGAGCAAAAAACAAACAACATATACGACAAGAGAAAATGATAAGCGTGCTCTTAAAAAGTAAAAACACTCATCACATGTCCTGATGTACGGTGAAACATTTTATAAAATTCTCGTGAATTTGTGGGAAGAGATGTTTCTGAAATAATGTAAAACGCTATTCATCGAGACCGTGTAAGTAAGAGAAGAAAATGAGAGTACGAGTAGTATAGACTTACAGTGATTCTTTGAGAACCTATGAGGGTAGCAGTGACATGGTCAAAGTCGGAATTGATACAACGTAGGAAATGGTCGGAAGGGTTTCTTCTATTTGGACATGCAAATCCACAATCTGCAAAGAACTGTAAAACAACACACAAATAAATGCAACTACTTAAGAAAACAAATTAAATAAATATATTCTTTAATTTACTTCAAAATACAAATGCTAATTTACAGGCTATTACATATTAGCGGGGTTTACCCTCAACTTGCATGGTAGATTCCTTAGCAATTGAACACACAAATGTTCAAACTCTGATTTGTTCGTTTATTAAACAATATCTAAAATTTATTCATTTATGTTCGTTCAGACCTATCCCTATTCGCATCGGGCCGGCTCAATTAAAGGGCAAAATGCTGGCTATTTTTTTTATACGAGATGGGGTTTGAATTCCCGACCTCTTTTAAGAGATACGAGTGCACGGTCACCCACGCCAACCGAATGATATACTATATATACCTCAACAGCATTCTTAGCTTCTCCAAAATAAATAGTTTCGCCGGAGGACAAGAGGCAAAGATCATCAAACTGCGCAAAGACTTCACTGCTAGGCTGGTGAACGGAGCACAAGACGGTTCTCCCACCGCCGGCGGCCAAGTTCTTGAGAACCTCCACCACGAAAAACGCGGCGGCGCTGTCTAGCCCGGTGGTGGGCTCGTCCAGGAACAGCAGACGAGGCTGCGTCGTCAGTATCTCCAAGGCAATGCTCAACCGCTTCTTCTCGCCGCCGCTTATCCCTCTCAGGTGCCAGTTTCCGACGAGGTTGTCGGCGCAATCTCCGAGCCCCATCTCCGATATCACGGACTCTACTACCTCGGCCTGCTTTTTAAGGTTGCCTGGAAGCCTCAGTTGAGCTGAGTATGTTAGGGTTTCTCGTATTGTGAGTGTGCCCATTAATACATCTTCTTGTGTCACGTAAGCCTGCATGTATGCATGCATGGGATTCAATTCCGATATATATAAGTACAATATCGATGAAATTACATATTTACTACTTTATACATATATATAAAAATATTTAACTTGGGCACTTTAATATAGTCAGGTGGAGAGGTGAATTACGTGTGACTCATAGGCTTCTTAGGTAAGTACCCACAAAGAGTCCATTACATTTGGTGTAATTCTCGCAATGCAACTATTAGAGCAACTCCATTAGGGTTTTGGGTGATTTTTTGCAAAATAAATATTTGGGGTTGAATTGGTTTTTAGACAAATAGGAGGGGGGCTTTTTAGTAATTTTTTCTCCTGCAATATATAGTGTTTTTGTGGGTTAATTTTGTATTAGGGTGAGGTATATTATTATAATTAAATAAAAAAAATTACCACATCACCATAGTTGAGCCTTCTCTTTCGTCCATTGAGGAGAATATTTCCAGTCATGGCAAGATTTCTTGAAAGTCTACCTGCAAATTAATGGAACAACATTATAACCCAACGGGGTAGCTCAAGTGACAAATGAGCTCTCTTTGTGGAGAAAAATTCCTGGATAAATCCGGATTTAATTCCTACAAGTGACGATTCCTTTTAGGCTAGCGAACGGAGATTAATTAGGTGAATCTTGAACCGTTACACGGATAAAGAAAGATCCAGATCACCCATTTACACACAACAAAGGAACAATTGAAATATATAGTAACTTTGAGTTCAATTTTTGATCTACATCTGCTCCCACTTTCTACTTCGTTTTCTACTTGTTGGGTATAATGATCATTGTTTTTATTCTTTCACTTTAATTTTTTATCTAATAAAATTTATATACGTGACGAGAATTATACTCCATGAAATTACATCTATCACTTTCCCATTTTTCCCCATTTCTCGTTTCATATATGATATCTAGACAACCACCTAGGTTTCAAATGTCAAAGGGTAGAAAAAAAAACATTAATAAAGTGTACGGACAATTGCTGCAGACAACATTATCTCATCCTATCTACCTTCCGTTCAAAAGAATGAAATTCATTAATGTTGTTTTCTACCCTTTGACATTTGAAACCTGGGTGGTTGTCTAGATACCAACTTTTTTTTTTTTTTGAAAGGAAATATCACCTACTTTTTAAATAATTAACACATATATTAAAAAACTAATGTAATTAACAAATATCTAAAGACATAAGAGGTAAACTGCACTAACTAGCTAAAAAGACCATGTGCGATGGGCTCAACTAAGAAAGTGTTAATAAGAATGAGGCTCAACCAAGAAGGAGATAATTAGAACTTAAGTTTATATTAGATGATGTTAATAAACCGAATGCACACTAATTTAACTCGCTTCACCAAATAGATCGCGGACAAGAGGCAGCGAGGATCGATACATGATGTGCCCCGACCCGACCCATATTTAAGGCGTGGGTACGGTTCATATCACATTATTATCTTCTCTAATTGTAACAAAGTTTTTATTCTATTTTTGTCCATCAACCAATTCAAGTAATGAAATGCCTTCAATAATTACATTAAAGAATTTCAACTCCCTACTAACTGCAACACACTCTAGCATGCATGGCAGATCTATTATTAGTCCAGATGGCATCACTCCATGCATCTTTTTCTTTTATAGCAAAACAAAAATGATAGCAATCTCGTATCAATTAATTATAGACACTACTAAACTATATTTATATTGGCATGCTTATACAACTAACTAAACTACTTAAACTATCCTAACAAAACAAAGTAATGATTTTTAGTAATTTAATGCATTGTAACTGTTAGGATCTATCCAAGGTTTACCGCTACGCCAAAAGTTAGTTAGTAGCGAAGGTCTTTATTACTGGTCTCCGCCCAACCATCTCCTCCTAGCACTAGACTCTGATATCACTTCTTAAATCAGGCGTTTAACACTATGTCAAAAAGATATAGTTATATATTCATCTACACATTTTCGAGAGGCAAGATATTAGTTGGACTTAATCCTTTACGGACTTCTGCCCAACAATCTCCCTAGCCACATCGTACTAGAAACCCTCGGAGCGGTGCAGACTAGATATCAGAAGAGATAGAGATAGAGAGAGATCAGAGATGGAGATTATATATTGACCCCTGCTAAAGAATCAAGAAGAGTGGACTTGCCAGAACCAGAAGGACTGGCCTTTACGGACTTCTGCCCAACAATCTCCCTAGCCACATCGTACTAGAAACCCACAGAGCCGATCAGACTAGATATCAGAAGAGATATAGATAGAGAGAGATGGAGATTATATATTGACCTGCTAAAGAATCAAGAAGAGTGGACTTGCCAGAACCAGAAGGACCCATGATTGCCATGATTCTACCAGGCTGAGCAAAACCTGTTACACCATTAAGCAGCCTCTTGGTTGGTCCATTTCCAATGTTATATGGAACCACCACCGTCAGATCTTCCCACCCCAACCAATCTCCACCCTTGCTCCCCATCATCATCATCATCTTATCATCATCTGCTGCCACCTTCCCATTTTCAAGATCCATGCAGACTTCAGACTGTGGAGCTTCAATCTCCATTCTTATTATTATTATTATTAAAGTGAAGAAACTAAGATCTACAAAGTGGGAAGTGGGAAGCAACCTTTATACTATGTACTAAATATATAATCTGCAAAGGTTAGTTTTAACAACAAAATTCCTCACTTTCAAACATATATATGGCTGTAATTTATTGCAGCAATAAATTTGGGCTGCTTGTGGAAGTTGAGGAAAAGTTGGGCTTTTATTAACGTCATTATTGTTGTTTGATGTTCGTTCTTCACTGCTGTCTCTAAGTGCTACTCAAGATTCCATTAGAAGAAGAAAAATTGTATAAGCAAAATATTTGATAAATAGATCGAAGTATAATATATTATATACTCACTCCGTCCCTAATTGAGTGTCTTACTTGCTTTTTGCACGGTTTTTTAATACAACATAACAAATGTTATTAACTTTTCAATTTTGTCCCTCAAAAGTAGGTGTTGTTTGTACAAAGTACAATTGTACTTACCTCTAGAAATTTGGAAAGTCAAAAGGGTAAATTGAGAAATATAGAGTGATAGTTATGTTCAATTTTAGAAATATGACACTATTTTAGGACAAACCAAAAAGGAAAGTAAGACAGGTAAATTGGGACAGAGGGAGTACTATTCATTTTTTGTATAGTTCATCCGTGCTTGAAACACTTTTTTAAAGAAACGAATGTGCAGACACTGGAGCAAGAATGTATTTTGTACCTTGCTTTGTTGGCATTTATAAATTTGAAGCTGATGATATGATAATGATATAACTTTGCTTGCACATAAAAAATGATTTTAGTCTGCCTAACAATGTGATACAACATGTTACATACTTACATGTAAATGTACATAAATAATGTACATGTCTCATGCATGCCCTTCTATTTTTGGAGGAACAACTGTCCCTTTCTGCACATGGCCATGTGACCCAAAATTTAAGAGGAAAACTTAGGTGTCCTAACTTACTCACCAACATGAAAATGATATATGAATTCTCATAAAGTGAAATTTTCACCACATAGAATAATTTCAGTCAAGTTAATCAGACTATTAACTTAATAATCATAAGGCTACATGTTTGACTTCCAACAGAAACGGTCTATTGATCTTTTTTATTTGATTCAGTTAACTATGAACAATCTAGACTGATTTGCTTGTGGTCATTTGTTGACTAGGGTCACAAACCGAATTTTACCCCATACACACCCAATTAAAGAAGAAAGTGCTGGTCATATTAGTTTTTCTATACGAACTGAGAGAGAATTTTGAATTCCCAAACTCAGATTATAATGTTTTTATCTATTGATGGACCAACATTGCAATTGAATTACTACATATTAATTGTTTCAAGTAAAAAAAAAAAAAAAAAAAAAAAAAAAAAAAAAAAAAAGACACACATAATTGTATATTGATAATTCTATGAGAACTTATTACACAAAGTACTTTTCATTGCAACATAAAGACTGCAGAAACTTGATCAGATCAAAGTGATCAAACCAACAATATGTCACAAATTGTTATAAGTAATGGTATATGAACATCACAAATGCCTCAAAACTTCACTCTTATCATATCTTATTTCTCCCTAATGAACCTTTTGTGCCTAAGGAGTTGGAGAGCCGAGGCCTTCTTGAGACGATAGTGAGCGGAAGTTATGGTACCTTTTCGAGGACAGAGACAGAGACGGGCGCCTCATGAGCGAGGGCCGCTTGCTGAGCCGATGCAAAGTCCTCTTGGCGTATACAGACCGGAAGAATGGTAGTGCACGTTCCTTTACTTTGAGGACGATGAAGAACACGAGCCTGTAAACGACGATTAGGCAGTACAAGGCGAGTAGATCCCACCACTTGGAATGATCCATTGGTAATTTGAACATGGTTTTGAGGACATCCTCGCCCTTCAGCGTTGGATCCCCGGGGATTAATGGATCAAACACGAGCCCAATCATGTCATTCTTGTAGGCACCCTGCACCCACAATGCACGAAAACTCAACTACAAGCTTAAACAAATGGCGGGAATACACTCACTAGGCCCCAATACCAAGTTCTGTCTAGGGTCACTCAATTGGGCTATAATGCACATGAACCAAACTACACTAAAAATTAAATCAAACCAATTAGCTAGTCTAACTCATGGCCTTATAAATCCATATGTTCTCTCTTATTTTATCAATGTGGGACTTTTAACATGCTCAACAAAGTGCATTAAGGCCCCCATACCAAGTTCAAGGATGTGCTCTATTTCAACCAACGTTTAACCTAATAGTGAGATTGCACATTTATATACTACGCTCAACTAAGAAATCGGACCGACTATAAGATATGCATCCCCTTAAAGGCAATGATCTAGCTATGAATACCAACGAATTCCAGTTTTTCAGTTCATTCCTCTTACCTGTAGGGACCATGCGCCGTAACCTATGAATGAAACTGGATAGCGCCAAAACACTTTGGGAAGATCAGCCAGCAAGCGGAAAAATCCAGCAGTCATCATCATAATTCCCTGCAAAAATTAACGTTTATGGTAAAGATTTCGCAATAGTTTGATCGTTCGAGGGGATAAAGGTTCGTTTGGCTTAGCTTACAAGAACACCAGCGCCAGTAATGATTCCCATTAAAAAGTTGGGGACCAGTGAAGCTACGATCATCATGCAGCTTTCGACCATGGCAATACACCCAAACAGGTTTAGGCAAAAGAAGACGTATTGAGAAAAGCTGGCCTGGAACACCATGTAAAACGTGATGGTCCCCGTAATGGCTGAAACCGCGACCAAAAATGGGAAGGAAGAAAGGAAGTTTGATAGTATAAACGCTCCAACTCCGTAGTGTCCATTGAGCCTTTCTTTGGTAAAGATCTGACGAGAAACAAAATAGTTTTAACTCCCGAACAAAGATAAGTAAATGTGGAGGGGCAAAATAAGGTTGCTTACTCTCATTTCTTCTATAAACGAAGGGAAGCCCCCGATGGACATGAAAGTCATGTATCCCGTTACGAATCCACCACAAGCTCCCCGAGCCAAGATGGCTGTATAACTGGTCCCAACACGAAAAAATAGGGTACCAACACTTATAGATACAAGTATATAAATAACTATGCGTGACCAATAATATCCCATATCCCGTGTCATGTTTTTAAAGGATCTCTGAGTCAATGTCACAAGTTGCTTCCCCCATCCAGCTTGGCTTCCTTTTATCGTTTCTATCTCGATATCTTGCTGCATAAAATGAATATACTATGTTAGGATCAAACGCTTACCACTACGTCTTATACTGTCAATTTTTGAGAGGTAGGGCCTCCGCCCAACAATCCCTTGGTGGTGCTGGACTTGGCCCTTCATCCACCCAACAATTTCCACTCCTCCCCACCCCCCCCCCCCCCCAAGGACCTGCCACCCGTGACCTGATTCTGATACCACTTGTTAAGATCAAGTGGCCCCTCATCCGCCCAACAATTTCCACCTCTCCCCCCTCCCCCCGGGACCTGACACCCGTGACCTGGTTTTGATACCACTTGTTAGGATCAAGTGCTTACCACTACGCCAAAAACTATATCTCGTAGCAAATGCGCAACTTTATTTCTTTATACCGCCACTTTTTCAAGAGACAGGGTACTGGACTTGGCCCTTTTGGTCTCCGCCCAACAATTCTCCTAGCCACCTGGTGCTGGACTTGGCCCTTCAGCGGCCTCCATCCAACATACTAAGATGGGCACTCAAATTGAATAAATAAGATGTATTTAGTCAATGCAACCGAGAACATGTAACATCTCAATGCAACACATCGGCATTTTACTTAACTAGTCCACAGCCAAGACATTTGACCTTGAAACACTTACGATTTTCGAGAGTTCTTTCATCCTAGATCTGGCCCTCGCACCGTATTCCGATCGTCTAAACTTTTCAACAAGCATAGCTTTGATCTCAGCAGTAGCCATATTCATCAGATAATCGCTTTTGTGTGTTTCCTGTAAACACAATACCAGATAATCATATAAACAGAAAATACCATTCTACAATGTGTTAAATTAGTACTAGAAAGAACGATCATTAGTCGCTACAATTTCATTCTTACACGAAGCCGCATTGAGCCTTTTAATGTTGCTGTCACAATGTCGAAATCAGAATTGATGCAACGTAGAAAGTGGTCAGACGGATTTCTTCTACTCGGACATGGAAACCCCGCTTCAGCAAAGAACTGAAAAAAGAAAACAAGAAATCTTGAACAGACCGAAATTTCTGGAGCAGAATTCTCAACATTCTTTGTGTGTTTATGGGTCAAACCACTAAAAGATTAAATCCAACAAATTAGTTAATCTAACCCATGGCCTTATAAACCCATATGTTCTCTCTTATTTTATCAATGTGGGACTCTTAACAGATATATATCCATATGGTCATTACCTGAATAGCCGTTTTCGCTTCTCCAAAATAAACAGTCTCGCCTCCAGATAGCAAATAGAGGTCATCAAACAACGCGAAAACTTCACTACTAGGCTGATGAATAGAAGAGACGACTGTTCTTCCATCCCGACAAATGTTCTTAAGAGCTTGGACCACGAAGAAGGCTGAAGCGCTGTCAAGACCGCTAGTTGGCTCATCGAGAAAGAGTATGCGAGGTCTCACAAGAATCTCGAGCGCAATGCTTAGCCTCTTCTTCTCCCCGCCACTTATGCCTCTCAGCTGCCAATTCCCTACCAGCCGATCAGCGCAATCTAGAAGCCCCATTTCCATGATCGTCCCCTCGACAATTTCTTTTATGTCTTGATTAGTCATGGTAGTTGGGAGCCGCAGTTTGGCTGAATATGTGATAGCTTCCCTAGGCGTTAGTGTTCCCAGCAACACATCCTCTTGTGTAACATAAGCCTGTAATACACAGACAGCCATGGAAAAATTACAAAGAATCTTGTGATAGCTTATCAGCTAATTTTGGCTTATTTGACCAGTATTAGCTGTGTTTCGCTTGGTTAAAAAACCAATATAAGTGTTTGGTTAATCAGCTTTTTGTAACTCCAAAATGCTAAAATTCAAAAAGCTGCTCAAAAGCAACTTTTTCAATTAGCTTTTTGAGAAAAGAATTTATACAGAACAGCTATCAGCTAACAGTTAATTTACCAAACACCTATCTACAATCAGCTAATGTTATCAACTAGTCATACCCTCTAATCTAAATATCCAATCAGCTAACAACCATTTACCAAACAGAGCCGAAGGCAAAAAAAAAAAAAAAAAAAAAAAAAAAAAAACCTGAATTAAGAATAAACTGCTCAAAAAGAAGCTACTTACGACAACACCATAGTCCAGTCGCCTCTTCTTCCCATTAAGAAGAATATTACCAGTCATGACAACATTGCTGGCCAGCCTACCTGCAATTAGACCAAGCATTATTCAACAATCGAAAGGAGTGGCAGCATATTAGGTAGCTAATTCCCTAATTATACTTCTCGAATCATCGTAGAAACATTTATCAATTGTGAGCTTATCAAATAGTATAGAATTTGTCATGAGAACTTCAGCAATTACGTTAGATCAGAGAGAACTCATGATGTCTAAAAGATTACTTTAGAAAGTCCGTTAATTGCCAACTACTAGTTTAGCAAGTTTAATTCCCATCTTGTTAGGCCCCGGGCCATAAAAATACCCTTCCTGAAACAGGTTCTGTGTTAAACCGATACCTCTGCAGCTACATGGGAACATCATAACATCAACTACAGTGGACTATAATCAATACCATTATGCATAATGTCTCACACGAGGGAAAGAGAAAGAAAAAGGCAATATAAGAAAAAAAAAAAAAAAAAAAAAAAAAAAAAAAAAGAAGATAGAATAGAGATAATATGAATGTAAATTCATGCACAGAAATAAATACACCATGCTCAGATAGTTGGTTAAGTCAGTATTCTTTCATTTATTCAAATGTCCTGTGCCTAACCACTTTAGGAGTTTAGTCAGAACCAACTTAATTGAGCCACTGTGTCACATTCATTACACAACGTGACAATACATTATGTAACATTTCAACCCCAAAAACCGTAGGGGTGAAAATGAAGAATTTCACATCTGATCTACCTTGAAATCTTACCGTAGCAACTCATGAATATGATGATAATCGACACTGATATTTTTGTTGTTTTTTGATATCCTAATAACTAGGGAGTGAAGGTCAAGAAAAATGGCTTTTTTTTAAAATGTGGATCATTTAATTGTACTTCACTCTAAAAATTAAATAAACAAATGCATCAATCACACCTTCATCTCTCAATTGAAGCACTTTATTATGAGTTCTCCATCATCCTTTTTTTAATTAATGACATAATCTGCCCTCCCCTCAAAAAGGAAATGGTAGTTCAAGTGTCAAAACTGTCTTTTTCAAGAAAATTAAATTTTTCTTTTCTAGAAAGAAACAAGATCTGAACTTCTGAAGTTCATTCTAGATGAACAGAAAAAAACGAAAACTCCAAGAAAATCAATACAGCCAAAATAAAAGAAAGATTTTGGTTTCCTCACAACCCCCACCCACCCCTCCTCTCATCACTCCTAGCTCCAGAGATATGATCAATAAAAGCCCACAAAAGATCAGACACTGCTATAGAGGACCAATGAATGTGTAGCAACAATTTTTCCAAATTAAGGTTGTCTTGATGACATCTATATATGCTCCACTTTTGTTGTCTTTAGTGACATCAAGAGAATTCTACATGCAAAACAAACTTAGATTGTTTACATATGTTTTTACACTATCATGCTTTCTCAACTACTATCATAGCAAAGTGATTAAGTAAGTAAGACAACTCAAAAACAGATGATCACTGTCAAATGTTAAGACCAGTTTGCACTTCTTAGTCACACAAGCCCCATAAAAGCATAGTTTACATTGTTTCCAAAATGTTGAATCCCCAACCCAAGGCCCCCACATCCCTGCCCGACAGATTATCTGTGAAAGGATGTAAATCATGGTAACTCAGCTGAACACATAGGACACAAGGAGCCCCTCAAATTGAGGGTTGCTCCCACACTGACGTCAGTGAGACTCAATCTCGAGTCATTATTTTCAAACTTTATTCCTGTGACCAACTGAGCCTATGCGGGCTAAAAGCATAGTTTACAGAAACAAGAGAGAGAGAGAGAGAGAGAGAGGACCTGCTAAGGAATCAAGAAGGGTGGATTTGCCAGAGCCAGAAGGACCCATAATGGCCATAATCCTACCAGGTTCAGCATACCCACTGATCCCTTGAAGCAGCTTCTTGGTTGGGCCTTGTCCAAAATTTGGAAGCACCACTGTTAAGTCTTCCCACACCAAGTAAGCCACCCCCTGCCTATGCACCACCCCTCTCTCAATATCCCCTCCTCTACCACCCCCACCACCCGCCGCCTCTATCTCCATGACCCCCCCTATGCAAAGCTCAAATCTTTAAGCAACCCAACCACCAATGCCCCTCCAATCTTGATGATGAACACTGCCCAGTTGTATATCACACCTTTGTAGCCCTCAAAAATCAGCAAAAATCCAAAAAGCTCAAGTCTTGCATCTCTGGGTATACATACACATACTCATACACACCAAATATAAGAACATAAAGAGATATGGGGCAAGGTTTATGGCAATGGGGGATATGAGTGGAAAGTGATGGGGGGTGGGGAGACTTTAATGTGGGGATGGTGGTGTGTACAGTTGCAGCTGCGGTGGTGCAGTTGTGACAATGGAGAATTGATTGCATTTATGGGACTTTTAGCCGACTCTGTCCCTATGCAATGTCGGATTTGGAGCTTGCTTTTTACCTGCAATTCTTGATGATCATTAATTATAACCACTAGTCTTCCTCAACTACCATCAAATAAAACCATGGTCATGGAGGTGCCTTGAGAACTTGGAAACCCACCATTTTATTAATGAAAAAAAAAAAAAAAAAAAAAAAAAAAAAAACCCTCAAATGCATACATACAAATGATACAATATAATAACTACTCTTTCGATGTAATTGTGTTAGCAACTCATTTATTAATTGTTCTGAGTTGAGTTGTGTTAAAAAAGAAGGAAAAGTTACACTTTGGCTCTTTAAAGTAATGATAAAATTCGTCCATACTTGTTAAGTATGCTCACTTTTCGTTCGGAAGTTAATAACTGACATTGTAAATTTCGTTATTTTTCTAACAAAATATTAGGTACGAAATTTGTAACGTCAGCTATAGTTTACAGACAAGAAGATTGAACACGACATGTTAGGAAAAAAAAACGATATTTATAACATTAGTTATAATTTATGAACGAAAAGTAAGCACGGCCAACAAATAAAAATGAATACTAGAATTATCCTATAACTTATTGATTAAAAGTGTAATTTTTCTTTTTCTTAAAAAAAAAAAAAAAAAAAAACTATACTTTCAGTTTTATAATTGTATTAGCTACTCATTCACCAATTGTTCTGAGTTGCTAAATTAAAAGGCTAAAATTTCATTGATGTGACACTTAGTATTACTCATTCACCAATTGTATTAGAGCATCCACACTTGTGGATATTGTGGGGAGAATTCAGAATTAAATCTTCCCTTCATGAGATAATAGCTAGTGTGGACATGAGATAATTGAAAAATAATCTCCCTGCAAATGTAGGGAGATTCTCAAAAAAAAAAAAAAAAAAAAAAAAAAAAAAAAAAAGCAATAAAGCAGTGAGAAGCAGTGTTGCGTCTCACTGACCACCCAGCCTGGCGCGTGTGCGACACGCGCCCGGCTGGGCGATTGAGAGTGGCCGCCAGCTGGCGGCCACTCTCATTTAATACAAATCTGGCCGTTGCTGGCCGAGCAACGGCCAGATTTGTATCGGTTGCCGGCAACGGTCACATTTCCGACCGTTGCTGGCAACGGATACTTTAAATAAAAAAAAAATATAATATATATTCATCTATAAATACCACATGTCTTCACAATTTTTTTACATTTTATCCCACTCTCACAATTCATTTCTATAATTCTTTCAATTTCTACTCAATTTCTTTTATCATAATGAAAAAAGACAATACTTCCAATCTCGTAGGCATGTTGGAGTAAAATAGAGAAAGAAATAAAATATAAATTTATAAATAAAATAGATAAAGAAATAATTAAAATATAGTGAGTTAAATGGTGGGGTCCACAAATAACTCCTAAATATCTCAAACTGATGTGGAGAAGAGTTATTTGTGATTGAGTGAGATAGTGGAGAATGAGGTGGATGCTGGGGCCCACAAATAACTCCTAAATCTTTCCAGCTGATGTGGATGCTCTTAGCTACTTATTCCTCTGCAGATCAGACAGAATCACAGAAAAGAGTGTTAATTTAATTTAATTTAAGAAACAAGCAGTGACCAAAATTGGGTATGTGACGGAATTAGTTAATTCCGGCAGTGGCAGCTGGGACGGTGGAGATTGAAGGCCGGATATTGGAAAGAAATGGGGAGGAAAAAAAAAACAATACATGCAAAAAGACTAAAATAACCTCAATTTTTTTACCATTATTATTTTTCGGCGAAATTTAGCCGGCAATTTGACCGGAGTGATCAAAATTGACAAAAATTACATAGTCATGGTACTAAATTGACACTTTTAAAAGTCAATGACTGAAATTAACAAGATCCATATAGTCATATGACCAAAATTGAAATTTCGTCTTACCAAAAATTTGTCTTTGAAGATTATTTTGTTGGATTCCTTGCAGGCGAAGGATTTTATATACCAACTTGATCTAGAGGTGTCCAAACTTCAGTTAAAGTTCGATTAACCAATAACCACCCAATCGAAGAATTTTAGTTAATCGTTTTTTAATAAAAAAAAATTCAGTTAATGATTAAAAGATTTGCAAAATTTCAGTTAATGGTTAATTCGGTTCGAAACTATCAGTTAATCAAAATTATATATATATATATATATATATATATATATATATATATATATATTTGGACTTTATAATTTGTGCTTTTATGTTTGTAATATTATTATGATATTGTGTTTGTATATTTTTTTATGAATTTATTATTATAAGTATTATTTTAATTAAATTTATTATTATTATAGGTATTATTTTAAATATTTAAAATTTTAACTTAAAAAATTTCAATTAATTGGTTAAATTTAAAAAAAAAAATTAATTCGATTAATTCGGTAATACAAAATTCGATTTAGTTAACGATTAAATCTTTAAAAACTTCGATTAACCGATTATACACCCCTTAACTTGATTAATGCGGCAACGCCTATAAAAATAAATAAATAAATAAATACTCCGTAAGAATTTTATTTTTAGGTGCATTAAATGCATAATAAAAATAATACAGAAAATGTGCATTAAATGCATATTAAAAATAATACAGAAAATTGGCCTGCTTAAATTGTATATGAACCTAGGAAATAACGCCTCGATCTAAGCGATTACAACCCGCAGTTCTCAATTTTAATCTATAAATAAATACATATGACTAATGGATAAACGTGATTCTCATATAAAAAATCTATAAATAAATACATATGACTAATGGATAAACGTGATTCTCATATGATTGTCTCTTTTTTTTATGAAAACATAAAAAATCTTGTCTTAGAAAATCAGAAATTTAATATTTATCAACAACTTTTCAATTCAGTCTGTCCTATCATATATAAAAGTCATAAATTTAACATCTTTTCAACTGTGATTCAGAATATAAAAATATTTCAAATCACTTCACTTCAGACCAGACATGAAAACAATCACCTAAAAATTGTGTAATAAAATAACAACGAAAATATTTGGTACACTCCAATTTTATACTTCCAACTTTTATTCCCTCTTACATGTTTTTGATGTAGACACTTTCTTGTTGACTCACATGATGAAAATAACAAATCTTTATTTGTCACCTCATGGAGTAGAAGTAAGGGAGTAGAATTTGGGAATACGCATAGTAGAACTCAAATAACAAAAGGTATTGTCAAAAATGCATATTTTTCTTGAATTTGCAATTTCAATAGCTCAAAGGAAAATACAGTGACTCACAGAAATTGATCTCCACTACAGAATAAGTCATACTGCATTAGAACCAAAATAAATAATACAGAGTACTGGAAGACTATATGGAACATATATGGGATCAGGGGAAGGTGAAGCAAAGTTTGATCAAGGAAGAGGGCACTTAATCAAGAACCTTGGTGAGGAAAGACTCCGGATATCCTTTAAATTGCACCGGCATTTGCATTTGACCCTTTCTTCTTCTTTCGCTTGCGCTTAGGCTTTACAGCACCCACGGAAGTGTTGTCTCTTTCAGTTGGTGTTGCACTTCCATGTGCCACCATTAATGAAGCTGTTGAATTAATATCTGCATGTGGTTGTCCTGGTTCTGTTTCGTATGACTTCTCGGTGGGATCTGCCTGCATGTTTTGATCTTCTCCAACTCCCCCGCTACTTCTATCTGACTCTGAAGATTGCGGTTCAACATCCATGTCATTACTTTGACTGACGCCGCACTCCTCTGATTTTACCCTTTCTTTTCTATTTTGTTTAGTCAAATCGTTGATTCCCCCATGACCATGATCACTAACACTAACTGCAGCAATAGCAGGTCTATGCCGCTTGATCTTTCTAAGAGCCCTTTCTGTGTTGTATGATTCAACCTGCACATTATGTATGCCAATGCAAATAAAATTAAAAGATGATATATATATAGTATTCTGCTGTTTTGAACCTATTGTGGATATAGTATGAAAGCTCTAAGGAGAGCGAGTGAGGGGTGAATAGTCCTGCCAAAAGGCTCAGTAAGATACAGTGACTAAAACATCTGAAACCCAGCCAATTCCGCTGAACTAAAATCTAGCGGCAAATGTATTTTATTGTTTTCACACTATAAAAGGTGATTTATAACCTGTAACATAGGACCTATCTGTAAGAAAGTGTTTAGGCAAATATGGAAGCCGAAGGTTTCTACTTAACAAATTATCACATACCGCATTCTTTATCTTGCTCGTTATATCTGAAGCCTTTACTGAGGCAATGCGTAGGCATTGCATTATAACAGCCTGCACAATACCATCTCCTCCAGCCTTTTGGATTGCACAAACATCACCATTTGCATTTAGGGTGGCAGTGATTCTAGCTCCCATTACAGCCTCTTCAAAATGAGTTGGATCTATCACCTGGGGGGGCCAGTACAATGGAAGAGAAATAAATTAGCAACCAAATCTCCATAAATGCACCTAATTGAGTCAAAACTTAGGGTCCGTTTGGAAACCGGGAAAATGACTTCTGGAAAATGTTTTCCGAGTTTCAAGTGTTTGGTTGCAATAGGAAAATCCAGTCAACAGAAAACATTTTCCGTTGACCGGGGAAAATGAAGGCATTTTGGCAGAAAATGACTTCCGCCAACACTCAAGGCAAGGCATGGTTTCCGCCAGACATCATTTTTTTTATAAATAATATTATTATATATTTTTTTATATTCTAAATAAAATATTTAAAATGTTTAATTATACAATTCTACTCATTTCGCATAAAATGAACCAAACACACCAATACAGTTTTCCAGAATGCAACCAAACACAGGAAAGGAAAATGTTTTCTGGAAAATGAGTCATTTTCCAGCTTTCCAAACGGACCCTTAGGGAGGTGTTTTATCCAAGCTTACCACAATGTTATCTTTACCGATAAATGCAAAGGTGACTGCTATAGGCATATGGTGTATAATCAAAGGAAGGGGCTCCATAACCTGTGCGGTGTAACAAGTACACAACTCAACTGTAAGTTCTTTTAGAAACAAATCAAGTAGACTAAAACATGGTGAGGGAACAAAAATGTAAATTGGTAGCTTTCCAATAGTAAGGAGAAGGAGCAAAACCAAGAAGCAGACCTCAGGTGGATGCATTATCACTTCCGGACCATCTTCTCCTCCCAAGGTGCATTCAGGTCTACGAAATGTTGAGAGAGCAGCTAAGGCAGCAATATTGGCAGCATCAACAAGATTCCTATTCTCAGAAAGTGGGGAAAAAATAATTAGATTCTAGGTCTTGAGTCGGACAAATATAATAAGTCATAAACACATTACAACTTACCCTCCATTGTCTAGAATGTGAAGATCAATACGAATAGCCCAAACCCATTTCCCAGCAACAACACAGAGAGACTCAGTATCTACAGCTCGGCTTTCCCTGCATGTTCAATCTTCATTAGCAGATACTCGAGTGGTTCATGACACTCTGTCACTCTCATAGAATTTCACTATTACTTGAGGAAATTATCCATTAGGCAATGTTAAACCTTAAATAAAATACAAAGTTAATAGAAAAGTGAACGTATTACATCAAACATCAAAACCTTCTTCTTTACAAATGTTCATTGCTTATTCTTCCTAAAATGTTTTAGTTTATCTGTAATTCAATATCTTGCACCTCAACAACACAGTTCTCTTACTATCCAAGATCATGTCATACTTCTTTAAGAGAAGATTAAAAGAAAATTACCTCAATCCACGATCAATTATGCGTCCCAACTCCACAGCGGACTCTCCAGGACGGCCTGCCTCAAATGAAGGATCAGCCATTGGAGAAAACTCAGTATAGATTGCAAGGGTTCCCTCATTAGGTCTTTCACGATAAGGTTGCACTAATTGAGAAGTAACAACTCCCATCACATGTGTGTGCCCCAGCTGCACCTCTGATGAGCCATCATCTCTGCACATTCAACAGTCTGAAGGCTAATGACTTGAAAGAATAAAATAGAAAGAATAATAACATTCTGAGCAACTATATGTCATACATTAAATTTCCATTATGCAAACTATCCACATATTGGCATATAATTCCTTCATTTCTATCCAGTAACCATGAAACTTTGAGAATATGTTCTCCACTATCCAAAGAGCTAGTAACTTTAATTACTGTGATCTGCCATGAACTCCCATGAATCTCAAAATTTTATGAATCAAACTCCAAGCTAGCACATTGTAAAGTCAATTTCATTATAACATACAGCCAACCCAAAAAAAAAAAAAAAAAATGCGGTAAGACTTTAACACTACATTCATGATTCACCGGCTGTTAAGCACTCAACACTACTCCATTTCAATACTCGCAACTATAGATTTTCCAGTCCATAGAACAGATTCATATCAAGGTCACTACTCACTACAATACTACATAGTTGGACGTCAGTGACTAATAACACCACATTCTCAATACTGAATAAAATCAAAATAAAAGCCAACTGAGAATGGAAGTAACATTCTTACCTGCCAAACTTGATAGTGAGCCGTCTATAATCGAAAGGGCGCCGGCCGTCGACTCTGAGGTCGGAAACCAAAGCGTTTTCGATGAATTGCTTGTCGTTCACAGTCAACCTCCAGGAATTAGCCAATCTCTGCTCCATTTTACATATATCTAATCAAAAACAATGGTGAACCATGAGAACTCGATTACGAACGAAGCACTCAAAAGTTCAAAGAATTCCGAGCAGTAAGGCGGAGCCCGTCGGGGAGGAGAAAGCGTGCTAGGGTTTATGAATTATGACAGGGAGTTCCCCGCCAATAATTTTGGGTTTAGCTTAAATATCCGATTGACGGCGTCACATTCCGTTTCATGCCACGTGTTTGTGGCGTTAGCCCTATTAAAATTTGAAGAAAAGTTCTAGGGATAAAGAAAAAATAGGACGTTTGGTTCGAGATGGAGAATTACGTGGAAAGAAATTGTAATTTCATGGGAGATGAATTACTGAAACAAAGTGAAAATTTAAATTTCAGTGTTTAGTTTACAGGAATAGAACTACTGGGAATTTCAATTCCAATGTTTGGTAAACATGGGAATTGAAAGGGAATAAGTAGTATAAAGTCAAAAATGTTCAGTGTTGTGGTTAGGCATTAATTTTAGGTTAAAAAAGAAAAGAGTAATTTTGACTCATCACTATCTTCTTTTTTTTTTTTCCTTAAAATTCCCGAAAATAAAATCTCGACATGGGATTTTAATCCCATGAAAATAGGGGAATACAATTCCATGGAATTGCAATTCTTTTCAACCAAACAAGGGAATTTTATGACCTTTGAAATTAGGTGGGAATTAAGTGGGAAGTGAATTAAATTCCCTTCAACCAAACGCCCTGTTAAACTCTTAAATTATTTATTATTTATAAAGTGTAATAAAGCCATCAAACTAAAAAATAAAAAATACAAAAAAAAAAAAAAAAAAAAAAAAAAAAAACTTCAATTAAATAATTAAACTTTAAAAAAAAAGTGTAATTATTTTCATTTGAGATGTTATTGTTAGTAACCTCCAAATTAAAGGGGATTGAAATGCCACATTAATATGGCTTTTGATGACTTTGATGCCCAATTCACACAAGAACAACAACAACAACAACAACAATAATAATAATAATAATAATAATAATAATAATAATAGTCAAAAAACCCCTAAACTTTATCCAAAAAGTCAATTAAGTCTTAAACTTTTAGGAGTTGTAATTAAACTCACTAACATGTTATTTTAGAACAATGAATGTTCTAAATGCACTAACCTGTTGGTAACTTGTGGTTGCAGGTCAATTAGGGTTATAGCCGGCAAACATCCGATCAAATTCCAACAAGTTAAGTCAAATATTATTGTCCTTGCAAGATGGATCTGAGTCAAAAATACATAATTTACATGCTGAATGATCATAATTTTGTAAAAGAGTAAATACCAGCCAAGATCCTTCGAGTTTAGTGGTTCCGCCATCAATGGTCCTAAACTTTCGTTTTGACCTTCCGTCATCCTCTGAATTTCAAAATTGACCTCCAATAGTCCTTTCGTTAAGTTTGTCCGTCTCAGCCGTGAAATCTAAGGGCATAATAGTCTTTTTTGTTTAATTCCCCCAAATACACGTACAATCTGTAGAGCTTTCATCTTGGCCATCTTCTATCGGCGTACCCATTAAACTTCAGACACCAAACTCTCATAAATATTCTTCATTTGAATCTGGCACGAAGTCAACAGTCATGATCAAAGCAAAACAATCTACCAGAGTACCAGATCGTCATTAAAATTCCAAGAATTTCATGTTTCCAGGTACCCTTTTGATGCAAATTCCATCTTGTCTTGTGTTTGAGCTATGCAGGAGATGATAGTACTGTCGAACGCTATCATCTTTTCGTTGGTTTTGAGGTACCGGGGATGCCTTATGAGCTTCGCCGACGAGGCTCTGATGATTCTAGCACTGGGAAATGGGAACTGGTCAAACCTGGATCATTACACGACTGACAAAGGCGGCACGATACAATCGTGAAATCAGATGTTGACACAAATAACCTAGAACTACTAAAAAGCTAAGGAAAGCAGATAAAAAATGAAAATCAATTGAGTGTTTTCATCTTATTTCATCTCCCTTAGTTATAAGACAAGCGAATAAGCTGCAACCCCAAATTGAATTCATAAGAAGAAATAGTAGAGAAGTGAGAAACGAACAGCAAAATCCCTACCCGAAACCGATCGAATTCCGACCCTCCGGAATTCGTAGGAGCTGAGCGTGAGCTTGTGCTTTTCCGATTAAGATGCGTCGGAGAGAGAGAGAGAGAGAGAGAGTCAGAGCAGCCGTCAATGGCGGAAGAGAGGGAGGGAGTAGCAGATTTGACTTGGACCAAGTACTCTTTGGTATAATTATTAGCAAGAGTAAATACCAGTCCCTCGAGACCACCAGCGAGACTCGGCGACGGGAAGTGAGGCGAACAACTAGACAGACGGAGTTTAGACTTGAGAGGACCGTCGGCAATTTGCGAAGAAGGGCCGGCATTAAACGGCTCACGGTTGTATTTGGGGAAATAAATAAAAAGACTATTATGCTCTTAAGATTTCACGGTTGAGACGGAGAAACTTAACGAAAGGACTAAAGGAGGTCATTTTTGAAATTCGGAGGATGATGGAGGGTCAAAACGAAAGTTTAGGACTATTGATGGGAGAACCACTAAACTCGAGGGACCTTGGCTGGTATTTACTCTTTTGTAAAATGTATGTAAATTACAAATATTCAGTATGTAAATTGTGTAATTTGAACTCAAATCCACCATGATCCATTGTATAACGGCAAATTATGATGTGCATCCGTATGCACCATGAATGGTGCAAACAGATGCAAAAACGACGTCGTTTTGCATCAAAACGCGTATCCTACTTAAAAAAAAAAAAATCAGTTTCGATTCCCAGCAACAACATTATGTTATTCATTTTTTAGTTCATTCATTTTGAATTTTTAGTTATGAAATCTGGATGTATAGTTATGCAATTCTGGATGTGTAGTTATGAAGTTATGGATGTTTAGTTATGCAATTCTGGATTTATAATTATGAAGTTATGGATGTGTAGTTATGCAATTCTGGATGTATAGTTATATGAAGTTATGGATGTGTAGTTATGCAATTCTGAATTTATAGTTATGAAATTATGGATGTGTAGTTATGTAATTTTGGATGTATAGTTATGAAATTATGGATGTATAGTTATGCAATTATAAATTTTTTTTTTTTTTTTTTTTAAAAGTTAAACGTCAAAACGACGTCGTTTTTTCATCTGGATGCACCATGCATGGTGCATACGGATGCACAGCATAGTGATTGGTATAACAACTCGTCAACTCGGGTTTTACTTATCGAGTTATTGCAAAAGCCCAAGATATTGAGCATTTGGCCCATAAAGTGTGGACTCAATATCCTGCCCAGCCCAAAGTAATAAAGCCCAATAATAGCCCAAATTAATAGCATTTGATTTCAAATTAGTCAAAGCTTAATTTAAAAATGAGTTAATACCCAAAATCGTCCTCAACTATAGTGGTTTTTCTCAATTTCGTCCTAAACGACTTTGGTGACCTAATATCGTCCCAGACTTTTGTGTTTCACTCAATTTAGTCCTCCATTTGTTATTCCGTCAAATTGGTGTTAAATTAAGGGACAATTCAGTAATGTCAATATTGATCTCTCTTTACTTTCAACTTGTGAAGTGCGAAATTCCTCTTTCTTGTACGAATTACACCCAGATTTACTCCCGGACCTGCAAATCAAATTTTATATTCGCAGTTTTAGGAGTAATTCTGGAGTAATTCGTAAAACAAAAAGAGATTTCGCAGTTCACATGTCTATGAGTAAAGAGATGTCAATATTAAAATTATTGAATTGTCTATTTATTTAACACCAAATTGACAGAATAACAAATGAGGGACTAAATTGAGCAAAAACACAAAAATCTGGGACTAAATTGAGCGAAATACAAAAGTCTGGGACGATATTAGGTCACCAAAGTCGTTTAGGACGAAATTGAGAAAAATCACTATAGTCGAGGACGATTTTGAGTATTAACTCATTTAAAAATATATTTATTAGAACAGAAAGTCTACAAACTATGTTAGGGTATGTTTGGTTTAAACATTAGAAATGGAATGGTAATGCAAATTAAATATTTAGTAATGATATTAAGTTTAAGTCAGAGTTATCTTGTTTGGTAGTAAATAGGAATTGGAATCAAAATAAATAAATAAATAAATAATTAAAATAAAAATAAATAAATATATAAAATATATAATACATGTATATACACATACATATGTGTTTGTGTATATATATTGTATTAAAATTTCATATTTAATGCATGAAAATTGATTTTTTTTTTTTATTTTTCTCCATTATTTTTTATTCCATGGTTCAAAAGCAGAAGAGTAAAAGAATAATGAGTTTTGTAATAATTAAAGGATTTAATTTCAATAGTAGGATAACAAAAACAGGCAAACAAATATTGTAATGAGTATCAAAATTCATATTGGGTGCAAAAGTCTACAAATTATTCTGTACACGTGGACACGCATCCAAAGTATATTACATACTGAATATTCATAATTTTGTAACGGTAAATTGTGAACATTTAATATATACACTGTGTATGTAAATTCTAAATATTCAATATGTAAATTATGTATTTTAGAATCAAGTCCACCTTACAAAGTGAATCATATAACAACTCGCAAAAGTCTATAACCAACACACCATTAGTTTACAGTTTACTGTATATATTTTGAGTCCAATGTATTATGTGCACATTTATTATTATTATTATTATTATTATTATTATTATTATTATTATTATAGCGACTAAATTTTAAGTGAAACCGAGTCCATTGTTGGTGCAATGATACATGAACCATGGTACTATGGTAGGGACTGATGTATAATTGTCAAACCTGAAAAGGATTCCAAAGAGATCATAAGAAATTATAGGGGTTTCTAAGCAAGAATCTCAGAACCCATGAAACACGGAATACATATATAGACATTGGGGGGCCACATGTAATACGGAGAATTTAAAGATAAGATATTAAGATTCCATTAGTGAACGGACGTGACCGATACCAAGATTCCACGGATCTCTTACTTTATTTTATTTGATACCAAATTTATTACACTCCCTAATTTTTTTTATCAAACAAAATATATGTAGGTCAACCAAAGTATATTAAATTGGTAATTACAAAATTATAAGTTTGATTTATAACGAAAGCAACAATGCTT